ACCCAGTGCCTCACACATGCTAGGCAAGTGCTCTACCACTGAGCCACTACTCCAGCCCCAAGAGAAATACTACTTTATAATACATTTAACAAAGAATTTCAATTGAAAATATAAAGAACCAGAAATCCTTTCAAAAACTAAAGAAATTAAAGGAATAGTCAAACAGAAAACTGAGCAAAGTCTATGAATAGGCAGGGAGAAAGGGAGGAAGGAAGGAAGGAAGGAAAGAAAGAAAGAATAAATGTACAAATAAAAAATATTCAACTTAATTAATAAACAAGGAAATGCACATCAAAATAATTGTAAAATACTATCTCACATTCCTCAGATTTGGAAAAATAAAAATGTTTAACAATACTCCAAAATAATTCACTGATCAGTCTGAACACCACAAAATAGGTACATAGATAGTTATATGAAGTACATAGCACACCTAACCCTAACCCTAACCCTCACTATAACCATACTCCAAAATAATTCACTGATCAGTCTGAACACCACAAATAGGTACATAGGTAGCTATATGAAGTACATAGCACACCTAACCCTAATCCTAACCCTAACCATACTCCAAAATAATTCACTGATCAGTTTGAACACCACAAATAGGTACATAGGTAGCTATATGAAGTACTTAGCACACCCAACCCTAATCCTAACCCTAACCCTAACCCTAACCCTGCCACTTGCATGAGTCCCCTTCACTGCCTGAAACTTGTGGCCTGGCAGTTAACATGGGATTTGCTCCAACCCAGCCATGAGTGCTCCCCTCTCTTCTCTCTTCATATAGGTAGCTATATGAAGTACATAGCACACTTATAAAGAAATTAAAGGAATAGCCAAACAGAAAACTTGGCAAAGTCTATGAATAGGCAGGAAGAAAGGGAGGAAGGAAGGAAGGAAAGAAAGAATAACTGTACAAATAAAAAATGTTCAACTTAATTAATAAGCAAGGAAATGCTCATCAAAATAATTGTAAAATACTATCTCACATTCCTCAGATTAGCAAAAATAAAAATGTTTAACAATACTCCAAAATAATTCACTGATCAGTCTGAACACCACAAATAGGTACATAGGTAGCTATCTGAAGTACATAGCACACCTATGAGGTATTCTTGCAAAACCAAACCTGCATTTAATCAAGGTTCTAAATCTTACAGTTAATAGAAACATGGGAGATAAAAGAATGTGTTAAACTACACCACAGAAACAGAATCAGCAAAATCCAGAATACAGCAAACTCTACAGGACAAACTGCCTGAGGGGAAAAGAGAGAAATCTTTAGATGAAAAGAAATTTATAGCATACTATGTGCTTTAGTAATTATACATGATGTAATCTCTGGAATTTGCTGTAAAACCATCTGGGGGAATAAAGAAGTGAGTAGAGGTATAGATGAAATGAGGCTGACCATATGCTGATAGTTGAAGCTGAAGCTACATAATAGATAAGATACTCATACTTTTGGGGATTTCTTCTTCCTTTTCTTCCCCCCCAGTACTGGATATTGAACCAAAGGCCTGGTACATGCTAGGCAAATATTTTGTAATTGAACTATGTCCTAGATTTCACCCCCTCCCTTCTATTTTTGAGACAGGGTCTTCCTAAGTTGCCTAGGCTGGTCTCAAACATGATATTCCTGCCTCAGTCTTCCACATAGCTGGGATTACAGATATGAACGACCACTGCATAGACTCTTGGGGCTTCTTTTTTGATTGATTTTTTAAATATATATTAGCAGAATGCATTACAATTCATATTACACATATAGAGCACAATTTTTCATATCTCTGGTTGTATATAAAGTATATTCACACCAATTTGTGTCTTCATATATGTACTTTGGATAATGATGTCTATCTCATTCTGTCATCATTTCTAACCCCCTGCCCTCTCCCTACCCCTCCCAACTCTCTGCCCTATCTAGAATTGAGTCTTGGGGTTTCTTATGTCATCTTATGTATATTAATGTGTGTGTACATTAATACACACACAAAAAGTTCCGTAATATAAATATTTTTTAAAGTCTGGCAAAGTCATGGACTAAATGTGGGAAAGAAAAATTTTCATACATTGGTGACACGAATGAAAATTAGTTATAAGCAAATCTAAAAAGCTCAGAAAACAGTATTTTTTGGAATTCAATTGACTGTAAAACCTGATCTAAACTATGTAAAGCTATTTATAGTTCTTATTCCACTTATAGTGACTACCCTTAAGGAATTATTATTTGATTATGTGATGGTTTCTTTTTTTATAATTATTATTTTAGTATTTTTAGGTGGACACAATATCTTTATTTTATATTTATGTGGTGCTGAGGATCGAACCCAGTGTCTCATGCATGCTAGGCGAGCACACTACCACTTGAGCCACATCCCCAGCCCCCTCTTTTTTTTTAAATATTTATATATATATATATATATTTTTTTTTTAGTTGTAGTTAGACACAATACCTTTATTTCACTTATTTATTTTTATATGGTGCTGGGGATTGAACCCAGGGTCTCGTGTATGCAAGGCAAGCACTCTACCGCTGAGCCACAACCCCAGCCCCATATTTGATGTTTTCTATAGGACATTTACAAGGAGTGTTCTATAACATTAGCTTGTTACATTCCCAAAATGCAGAATTTTAAAATTAATCTGGCCCCAGAAGTTTCAGAGCACAGTAATTATTTCAGAAAGCAATTAGAGATAATCTTGCAAAGATGAAAAGGGCATACTTCAGAATCAGCAATTCTACTTTCAGGTATACACTCCCCAAACTATACTTTTCATTAGAGGACATATATTGTGTAAGTTTAACTACTGTTAAATATTTTTAAAGTTAAATATTTTTAAAAAATATTTTTTAGTTATAGATGGATTTAATATCTTTATTTTGTTTATTTATTTTTATGTGGTGCTGAGGATTGAACCCAGTGCCTCACATGTGCGAGGCGGGCGCTCTGCCACTGAGCCCCAGCCCCAGCCCCTGCATTCTTTATAATAGCAAAAAGTTGAAAACAAACTAAATGATAGCTAATGGAAAAATAGTCATACACTAGAATATTATAAGTTTTAATTAAATTGTATTAACTAGGATCTATAAGCATAAATATGGATAGATCTCAAAATACAAAGGTGAGTGAAAATTTTGCAAAATAATATCTATAGTTTACCTTTTTATATATTTTTAAATAAAATACATTATTGTAATTATAAATATATAAACACTTAAATTGAAAAGACACAAACCAAGGTTGTCCATCTACAACTATTTAAAAAAAAAAGAGACAAACCAACTTCATGTAATGGCTTTCTATAGAGTTAAGGAGATTAAAATAAGGGAAGGAAAAAGGAGAACTTCATGATTTCAAGTTTGTTATTTTTTTTTCTATTATGCAATACTAAGGATGAAACCCAAGACTTCATGCATGCTGACCTATGCACTGAGCTACTTCAGGTTCATTTTTATTTTAGTTGGACACAATACCTTTATTTTATTTATTTACTATGTGATGCTGAGGATCAAACCCAGTGCCTCACATGTGATAGGGAAGTGCTCTACCACTAGTCTTTCACTAGTCTGTCACTAGTCAACCAGTGGGTCTGATCTGAATTCAACCAGTATATAAGATGGATATTCTTCAGGTAGAGTATTAAATAAATGGACTCAGCCCCCAGGTCCATTTATGTATTTATTTATTTTTTGTTGTTGTCAATGGAGTTCTATTGAACCCAGTGCCTTACGCAAGCTAGGCAGGTGCTCTACCACTGACCCACCATCCCAGAACCCCCAAGTTTCATTTTTATGCTTCATTTCTTTTTGGAATACTGATGAAACCCAGGCAGTAGTAGCTATCTTATCTTCACTTAAATATTTTTTTGTTTAAGTGCTGGGGATAGAACCAGGGCCTCATGAATACTAGACAAGTGCTGGATCACTGAGCTATACCCCCAGACTTAAATATTTCCTATTAATCTCAGAGGTCCAGGATGAGACTGCAACTCTTACAGTTATATTAGTGTTCCCATAATCTTGAATTAAATCACTTATTTTTATGTTCTTTGGAGTGTGACTAGTCCTACAGTAGTTATCTAGAGACTGCTTGAAACTCTACTACCTTAGTAAACTACACAGTATCTAAGAATACTGTAACACACCAAATGCTTGAGAACTTTAACATCAGAATTCTATATATTAAATTCAGACAATATACAAATCCTATATAGTAACTCCAGGGTTATAAGCTACATAAAATGAATACAGATTTGTACTAAAAGACAAATTAATAAAGAAGAAAGCCAGGCACAGTGGCGCTTGCCTGTAATCCCAGTTCAGGGGGCTGAGGCAGGAGAATTTTGAGTTCAAGCCAGCCTCAGCAACTCAGTGAGGCCCTAAGCAACTTAGTGAGACCCTATCTCTAAATAAAACATACAAAGAGCTGGGGATGTGGTTCAGTAAGCACCCCTGGGTTCAATCTCCAGAACCAAAAAAAAGAAAGAAAAAAAGGAGAGACTATATGGATTGTAGGAGGGAACCACAATAGATATGCATATTTAAAATAATTGAATATCTTTTTATATTTTATTAAAAAGGTCTACTCAATATCAATATTTTTATTTTCTATTTAAAAGCATAATATATAAAGGAAGCAGCATCTCTTCACTTGTTATGACATAAAGTAATTGGTTATATATTTTAAAAAATTTTTTGTAGTTATATATGGATAGAATGCTTTATTTTATTTGTTTATTTTTATGTGGTGCGAAGGATCATACCCAGTGCCTCACACATGTGAGGCAAATGTTCTTCCACTAAGCTACAGCCCCAGCCCAAGTAGTTGGTTATATTTAATATAAATTTTCTTTTTAGTTTAATGTACATTTTCATCAATTAACATTCAGTTGTTACCTACCAAAATGAAATTGTAACACCAGAGAAAAATCACATTATCATAGTGGACTATAGCTGCTAATGAATCTTTTAAAATAATTATTTTAAAAAGTACCTGCATTGACAAATGGAATTCCATCATATGGAACATATTGGGATTTCCACATCAAGCGTGTAGCAGGCTTGGCTGGGCTTGGAGACTGGCGGGTCCCCCAAACACTCTGTGTTTGCTGCTTGTGAAATGTTAGGATACTTTCTAATTCAGTTTCACTTACACAGTAGCCACGGTATGAATCTCCAATTTTCTGCATGTGGTAGAAAGAAATTAAATAACAAAATTATTAGCAAATATGGTAAATTATAGAGATGGTTGTCCAAGACCAAAGACTTATCAGCTTTCATAGGAGAATGTCTTTTGTTCACTCAGGTCACTAATCTGTCACTAGTCGACTAGTGGGTCTGCTCTGAATTCAACCAGTATAGGAGATGGATATTCTTCAGGTAGAGTATTAAGGAATATAATGCCAAATCCACTGCCACAGCATCTTTAAAAAGTCTTGTTTTAGGGAAATAACATTGACAGAAAACAGCTTGAAGAATATGTAATGTGCCCATTCTTCCATATATTTAAAATTCTACTGGATGAAATCCAGATAAGCATAAAACTAGCCACAAAGTACTAGTCCTTGGGGAGCTTAAATTTTTTTTTTTTTTTTTTTTTTTAGTTGTACAAGGACACTATACCTTTTTAAATTTATTTTTTGTGGTGCTGAAGATTGAACCCAGTGCCTCACACGTGTGAGGCAAGCACTCCACCCCTGGCTACAACTCCAGCCTGTGGGGCTTCTTTTAACTAAGATTATTTTTGAAATGATCCTGTTAATCTATTTGAGACCCTATGAAAATTGTATCTCCTATAAAAATGCTGCAAAATAATTTTCTCATTACATAAGAATTTTTTTTTGTGGTGCTGAGGATCAAAATCCAGGTCCTCAAGCATGCTATGCAAGGGCTCCACCACTAAGCTACATCCTCAGACAGCTTCAATATTCTTTTTATGAAGATCCTTCTCTGAGATAAATTCCTGTTTGACCTTATTGGGTAATGAGAAAAGACAATGAAAGCAATATTTTAAAATAAGTCATTTTAGGGCTGGGGTTGTGGCTCAGTGGTAGAGTCCTCACTTAGCAAGTGCGAGGCCCTGGGTTCGATTCTCAGCACACATTCAAAAAACCAAATAAATAAAATAAAGGTATTGTGTCTATCCACAACTAAAAAAATAAAAAATAATGTTATTTTAGAAAAATACAAATTAAGATCTAGAAATGGAAGAGTCAAGGAGACTAGGGGGAGTCTCTAACTGTGACTAAGTACAAAATAGCAATGTCTATGGAAGAATGTGGGGTGGAAAGAATCTTTAAAGGAAAAACTTTTTTTTTTTAAATATTTTTTTAGTTATAGGTGGACACAATATCTTTATTTTTTAATTTTTATGTGGTGCTGAAGATCAAACCCAGTGCCTCAAGAATGTGAGGTGAACACTCTCCCTCTGAGCTAGAATCCCAGCCCCAAAGGAAAAACTTTTAAAATAACCAAGTAGGTACCTATTAATCTATTTGAGACCCTATGGGAAAGGAAGAAAATTAGTCTAAAACTTCGTACCTGAGTGTCTAAGAAATGGTATTTATCATTAAACAGAGAATTTAGGAGCTAGTAATGGTATGGTAGATGATTTCAGTTTGGGATACAGTGAATTTGAGGTAAAATTCAAATATAGGTTCAATTAAGAAGCCAGAGATTTGAAACAAGAGCAAGAATTAAGGAACTGGTGACAGGTTTAGGAATCATTTTATAAATGTTAGACTTAAAAGTCAACAAAACAGATAAGTCCTCCAAGAAATAAAATGTTAAAAAAAAAAAAAAAAAAGAAGGCCAAAGTGAGTCTTGAAGAATTTCTAACATGAAGTAAGTACAAGCAAAGAAAGTGAAGGAACAGTCCAAAAATTTAAAATAGAGGAAAATGATAGTGAAATTTCATTGAAGACAGGTGAAGAGAGTTGCAAGAGAAGGAACAATAGTGAAGTGTGAAGGGATTTATATAACCTTTGCTTTACAAAGCTTAAAATTTCAAGCACAGTGGTGCACACCTGTAATCTCAGCAGCTCGGGAAGCTGAGGCAGGAGGATCACAACTTGAAAGCTAGCCTCAGCAAAAGTGAGGCACTAAGCAACTCAGTGAGACCCTGTCTCTAAATAAAATACAAAATAGGGCTGGGGATGTAGTTTAGTGGTTGAGTGCCCCTGAGTTCAATCCCCAGTACTTGACCCCCTGCAAAAAAAGCTTAAAATTTCTAAAGGATAATAGATGATATCTTATTTAATATAAACATAGACAAGGGATAACAGATACAGCTTTATTAGCTATATCTGAAAGTGAGCATTTTGGGATGAAATGTGATAAATAACCAGTTAAATAACTCTGGGTAAGGATTATTATTATTTCTTTTTGTAGGTGGACAGAATACCTTTATTTTACTTATTCATTTTTATTTGGTGCTGAGAATCAAATTCAATGCCTCACACATGGGAGGCAAGCGCTCTACCATTAAGCCACATCCCCAGACCTGGTAAGGATTATTTTTAACTCACCTCACAGCTCCTAAGTCGGCAGGCCCATATAGGTGTGTTAGAAGAAAGTGGTTGAAGAGGAGCCAGCAAAGGTTCTTCAAGCATTCTGGGAAGGAATATATATATATATATATATATATAAACATATAGTTCTAAACATATCTACACACAAAACACATTCAATTGCTTCATCTATTTAGCCAGTGTTAAAAATAACATATTAAGATCATCAATAAAAAATTATAACAATAACTACAGACTTATTAGATGACTTATTAATTATTATTTTCCTTAATAATTGCTATTTTCTTTTAGCCGAAAGGCCAAAGTTTGTTCTTCCACGTACCTGTAGTCTCCTCAAATTTAATTATTTCATATCTCTTCCAAATCTTATTTTGTACTCTTATTATATAATTATTTTCTATTTATAAAAAAAGGAGCTAATAAAATATCTTCAGGTGACATGTTAAGAGTAATATTATATAAGATCTAAGATTAGGTGTCATAAATATTGTCTTACTTCAAAAACACTTTCATAGAACAATTAATGTAGAGATACATAAAAATATACCTTAAATATTTTTCTAAATTATGAGCAGTGTTATTTTAAGGCAAAAATAAAAACTAAAAGAAACGTTAGTAAAAAGATTTGCAAACTTTGACAAAGAGGAAATGCATGATAAAAATGTGATGAGGGCTGGGGCTATAGCTCAGTGGCAGAGTACTTGCCTAGTATGTGTGAGGCACTGGGTTCAATCCTTGGCATCCCATAAAAATAAATAAAATAAAGGCAATTCTGACCATCTATAACTATAAATTTTTTTTAAAAAAGTGTAATGAAACCATTAAAGATGTTTAGATTCTACAATGGATATCTTCAATCTTAAAAACTCTATTAGACACTTTCATGTTACTTAGAAAGATAACAGGCAAGTATTACTGAGGAAGAGTAGCATTTTTGACATTTATGGCATCTAGAGCAGCCTTGTTCTTTGCAAGAAGCCATTAGAATAGTTAGAAACATTTACAGAGAGTCTCTTTTTTTCTGAATTTCTGATCTTTTCTATTGTCAGCCAGTTTTAAATGTGATAATTTTTTAAAAAGGATTTCCATGGTTATATCAAAAGATGAGCTCCTCTTTCCCACTGATTCACCTGGTTGCTGATTTTTTGGGCAAACCGAGAGATGCTTGTGGATGAAGAATGTAACTACTGGTGTTGTCTGCTGGAGCATCCACTCTTACAGCTGGTAAGTTTCTATCACTGGGTTTCTCTTCAGAGACATCTTAACAAAAAGAACAAGAAAAATGTGACATCAGTATCTTGAATAATATCATAAGACTGTACCTACGGTAGAACTTAAATGTTTATAATAGGAAAAAGAAAGAAGTGCTCTGAAGCTAAAGATAACAAAACTTAAGATGCTTTATTGAGAATGAGTCTGATACTCCTATTTATATTTAACTTGTAAAATTGACTATTGAAATTTTATAATTGAATTTTTGGAACTTATATTGTACATCTAGGATATAAAAGTGGTAAAAAATTGTTATATTAAAGAGTTTTACAATATAATAAGAACATGTAAAACTTTCTTGTATACTGTGTTTATAATGGTTTTTGCAAACTATGTTTTTTCCTTAACTTTTAATGACTGCTAACAAAGACAAAGAATCATAAAAAGAAGGTAAATATATCTACCTTACATCATTAACTAGGAAGGAGCAACAAAACAATGTAGCTATAATATTAGAAAAGAGATTAAAATAGATAGAAAAGGGAGGGAAACAAAAGGAAGAGAACTAATAGGGATATTATCAAACATGTAAAGAAAGAATATGTGAAAATAAATGGGGAGCATGATTCTCCTTTCTGAATTTGAAGGAATAAAGGAAAGAGGATAAAAAAAAAATTATAGTTAAGAAAGTAATGAATCACATAACTAACAAAATATTGATAAAAATGCAAATGTAAAAACTTCCTGTAACTAAACACTGTATTCTTGTTATTGTTGTTGTTATTATTGTTGTTATTATAATTAAGAAAAATTTATTTTATGCTCACTGGTCATTTGGGAGGAAGCAGGAGTCAACCAGCTTCATAGAATTCCAATATGAAATAGACAGCTAACCTAGACAGGAGTTGAAAAATGCACTTGAAATTTATTTGAGCTAAGAAATTTTTTCTAATTATTCAGTTCATAATCTTACCTAAAGAGATCAATGTTAACACTGACTTTCATAAGATGATTTCATACTATATATTTGTGCCTTAAAACATTCTCAAATCCCTTATATCCCAATATTACTTACCCTGAGGACTATTTATATCTGCAAGCTGCCCCTGTGGTATAATCACTTGTGCCATTCCTGATTGGGTAGATGGAATTACACGGAGCACCTGTCCATTTTCTGATGGGCTAGCAACGATCATCTTGGAAGCATTAAACAAACAAACAAAAACAAATGCATATGCCTACAGTGGTTTAACAGAATGATTACTTAAGTAAATTATTAAAACACATAACTACCCCTATGATCAATATTATTTCCCCCATTTTACAGATGAAACATTGAGACAAAAAATCTTTCCCAAGTTCTCACAAGTGATAAATATTGAAGCTAGGATTCAAAACAGGCAATTTGACCCAACAGCCTATGTTTTTAACCACCCATGGTCTTAATCATTATAGTGTATGCATAAGGTCCAATTACCCAGTAATCTGAACAAGGCTCTGATTGGACTTAACACATTTAACAAATTTGTGTGGCAATTACCTGTTATATATTTTAAGTCATTTTCATTAGTTTCAAACTGTGAATTTGTTAGATGTCTAACTAAACGAGATTTATTTTTTATTTCTGCACTTGTATACCTGTCTGGGTCCATAAAGAACACTATGGAGTGCCCCATAGGAATTTATTATACTTTTTATTTTAGTTTAACAATTGAACCCACTGTCTCAAATTTAGAGGAGTATTAATTAAAAAGGCACGTGAAATTGAAGAAAAACATTTGGAGTCTACCATTTGACAATATAGCTAATATACTACTGAAAATACATTTCTGGACTACGTATAAACTTTATTACCTAATACTGGTTTCCTATTGGCAGTTTTACTGTACTACTCAGTCTTCTGACCTCTCTGGTACAGATAATTCTTAAATCATTGAAACCCATTCTCCTAGATTTACTCCTTATTATGTAGAACAGGAGAACATTCCTGATGTTTGATGGAGACTGCATCCTAAGTTTAAAAGGGTCATTTGAAAAAAATGTGAATTTAAATTAGACAAAAAATGAATTAGGAGGGAAAAACTTCAGCAAAATACTTTAAACAAAATCATAAATTTTTCCCAGAAATTATTCTTCCCCCCAGTGTTTATCAAATTTCTTGAAATAAAAATATCTTGCCATACCTCTTATTACTTCAACATGAAAAAGCAGTTGTAAACTCTGGTGATAACAACTGCTTACATTTGTTGAGTGCATACTAAGTGACAGGACTTCAGATATATTAATTACCTCCTTTAATCCTTATCACATATATGTTAACTATATATACTTTATAAATGAGGAAACTATCAAATAGAGGTTATATAATGCATGCAAAATTACACAGAACTATTTAGTAGTAAACTAAACTTTTAGAAGCAAGTTAAATTTCAAATCCAAGTAATTGGATTCCTTATAAACAATCACTACTCCATACTGCCTCTCAATATTTGAAGCAAAAACAAACAATATAAAAAATCTTGCTGAACTTAAAAGGCACGAGCAATAATATTGTTTTAAATTTTTTCCCCTTACAAGATTAAACACCTGTGAAAAAATATGAGTTCCTTCACTCTTAGAAAATAAAAGTGCTGCATTATTTTAAATCAAATTAAATACATGTAATTTTTCATAATTTACTTAATCATATGAAAATTTTTTTATTAAAACACCTATGGAACAACCACAGGTGTTAATTTTGAAACCGCTTCCCAAGCACAGTGAAAGTCACTTTCATTTACCCTCTCTTTTGCTTATTTCACCTGGTACCTAAAAAACTATTTCCAATTCATGTAATTTAACAATGGCGATTATAACATTATTTTCCTAATTAAAAAAATAACTAATTATATTTAATTTTTGCTATGAAAACAAACAAGTTTAAAGAGTCATCTGTGGCAATATCTATTTGAGGCAGACCATAAAAATAAATAAAATTAATAAAAATATTAATCTTAGCTGAGTAGTCTTATACTTAATGATCTCTTTGTGTATAATAGTTCCAACAAACTCAAAATATCAACACTACTTTACTCCAAAATCTCATCTATTTCATAATTATTCATCACAGAATCTTTACTAGTTCCATGATAGCTTCTAAATAAAAATAATCATATTGAAAAAATTCTATTGCTTTCAAAAAGTTCCACTTGATGGGAGATGTTGATAATGAGAGAGACTATGCATATGTGAGGACAGGGGCTATTTATGCAGTAATATCTGACCCTTCTGCTTAATTTGACTGTGAACCTAAAACTGCAGTAGTCCCAGTTACTCAGGACACTGAGGCAGGAGAACTGTTTAAGCCCAGTAGTTCCAGACCAACCTGAGCAATATAGTGAGATACTGTCTCAAAATAAATAAGTAAACAAATAAAATAGTTAATTAAAGCAAACAAAATAATGCATAAAGCTCCAGTAAGTTTCCCAGAATATCACATTCTGATCTTCTGGACATGAAAAATTAAATGCCATTGTTTTCCCAGGTGCAGTGACACATGCCTGTAATCCCAGAAGCTCAGGAGGCTGAGGCAGGAGGATTAAGAGTTCAAAGCCAGCCTCAGCAAAAGCAAGGTGCTAAGCCACTCAGTGAGATCCTGTCTCTAAATAAAATATGAAATAGGGCTGGGATGTGGCTCAGTGGTTCAGTGCCCCTGAGTTCAATCCCCGGTACCCTTGCCAAAAAGAAAAAAATAAAAATAAAATAAAATGCCATTATTTCACATATAAATTATTTGTTGTATCTTAACCTCTGCTGGTGATTCAGTATGGTTTTAGGAGCTTATCCCTTCCAGTCCTGGCATAGGCTCAGAAATATATCAAGTCTAAATAGAAACAAAAAGGACTTCTTAGAGAAGTCCAGTGCTAAAGTCCTAAAGCACCTGCCTAACATGCACAAAGTCCTGGGTTCAATCTCTAGCACTAGGGACAAAACAAACAAACAAAAAAAAAGGTGTCCTCTACACTTAGCTACATCCCCATCAATTACTATCCACTCAAGAATCTAAACTCAATTTAGCAGACTCAGGGAGAAGCAAAATGTCATAAACTCTCGAATACTCTAGGAACAGAAACAAGGATTAGTTCTAGGTAACATGGCTGTTTCCCTGTGGTATAATATATAACTGAAGTTATTATGCTTTTAAAAATAATTCTTGGGGCTGAGATTGTGGCTCAGTGGTACAGCGCTCGCCTAGCATGGGCAGGACCCGGGTTCGATTCTCAGCACCACATAAAAATAAAGGCATTGTGTTGTGTCCATCTACAAAAAAGATATTCTCTCTCTCTCTTAAAAAAAAAAAAATAATAATTCTTATTATGAAAGTAACAAATATACATTGGTGAAGATATGGAAAATTTAGGCAAACAGATGAAACATATTATTCTTCATAGTACTATTTATGTATATATTCTTTTTTAAAAAATATTTAATTTTTACTTGTAGGTGGACACAATATTGTCATTTCATTTTTATGTGGTGCTGAGGTTCAAACCCAGTGCCTCACGTGTGCTAGGTGAGCACTCTACCACTAAGCTATAATCCCAGCCCCTATATACACTCTTAAAAAAAATTATATTTATTTTTTAGTTATAGGTGGACACAATATCTATTTTATTTTTATATGGTGCTGAGGATCAAACCCAGTGCCTCATGCATGCTACTTGAGCGCTCTACTTCTGAGCCTAACCCCACCCCCTACCTATACTCTTATTAAACAGAGTTAACTATAAGTTTTTCTCAAGAATTTTTATTTCAGGGTCTGGGGCTGGGGCTCAGTGGTAGAGCACTTGCCTAGCATGCGTGAGGCACTGGGTTCGAACCTCAGCACCACATAAACAAAACTAAATAATCAAAATAAGACTATTAAGAAAAAATACTGGGTGAATGTTTATAAGTATAGGTTTTTCACCCTTAAAAAAAGAATTTTTATTTCAATTACTTAAATTATGTAACTTGGTCAAAAATACTTTTAACTAATGGTTTAAATCAGCATTCTTATCTTTTTCATTTGTAAGCATTATTATTCATGCAACACATACATATCTACCTACAAATATCAGGAAGGGTGGGTCTAATTTCCAGTATACCAATGGTATCTCCATTGCTTTCTTTTTCTTTAAGAGAGAAATCAGCATGTTGCATGTAATCAATGAGTGAGATGTTGATAAACCAATAACTTTGAGTACAATCTAGTGCATATATTGTGAAAAATGTCAGTTTTGTGGGCACTTAGCTCTAGTTACAGATTATGCTGAATTTCCAATTTATCTCAAAGCATCAGTACGCCCAGATGTAAGTGGCTGAGAAGGACTGATTGAATACTATTTGTAGTCCTGAAAGAAAAGCTTTTAAAAGCCTTACATAAAAAATGAAAAGTCACAGTCAGGAGAGGTGGTGCACATCTTTTAAGTAATCCCAGCAACTCAGGAGATTAAGAGAGGAAGATTACAAATTCAAGATTAGCCTTAGCAATTTAGAGGAGCCCTAAACAACTTAGAAAGACCCTGTCTAAAAAAAAAAGGGGGGGGGGGGTTGGAGATATACTCAGTGGTAAGCCCCCTGGATTAAATCCTCAGTATCCCCCCCAAATCATTAGTACAATATTAACACAATAACACAATGTAAGTCAATAGTGTCAAGAAAACAAGGTCATCAATTAATACATTTTGCTAAATAGCATAAAAGTGGTTATTTATAAAGTACACTCACCATTTGTGCATTAGAATCCCCCAGTGAATGAAGTTCATATGGAACAGATTGTCCATTTTGATCTACTAGATGGAACTCCTCTGCAGAAAGAGTCTGTGTCTGAGTTAGGGGCCCTTGTATATTCTGTGAAATGAGTGAATTATTTGCTTGAGGATCAGAAATGGGCAAAACTGTAGGAGAATCATTTTGTCCAAAAGAAGAATCCCTAGAGTCCATACAGGTTAGATGCTTTTGTAAAGAAAAAGAAAAGAAAACAAAACAATTTAGTCTTTGTAAAATATACTGTTACAATTTTTAAAAAAGATGAATGTGTATAATAAAAATGGTAACTTATTTTTTCAGTTAATTATTCATTTTTATTTTGCAAGAGTTTTCAATTCACATAAGGTATTTCTCAAGTGAATGTTTAATTTTCATTTTATCTCAATTTTATTAAAGTAATGCTTAAACATACTCATAAAAGTTTGTATGCAAGAAAAATCTATGTTAAATTATATATCATTTTAGGATACATTCTCATGGTCAATTTTATCTTAATAAAATTTATTTTAATAAATTTATTTCATAAAATTAAATGTATGACAGAATATATGGGTAACTAAACATTACGATTCTTAAACCATTAAATATAATAACTTTTGTTAAGCATAAAAAGTTGCTTAATGAATGGAATCTTGTTTTATCTCAGAGAGGAAAAAAATTCCCAGCTGAATCTCTACCTCAAATTCCTGAGCCTCTGTTTTTGACTCTTCACCATCATTACAGTTGACTCTTAATGAATCATTAGACTGTTCCATGCTGGCATCATACTCAATTCCATTTTCTCCTACTGTTTAGTAGCTGAAAGAGTTTAAATACATGATCAACTGAGCATTTAACATTTTTATGGAATATTTTATCTTAAACAAATCCCTCATTTTCCCTACTGTGGTACCTTATACAATTTAGGTAAAATCATTTCTATTACGATTATCTATTAATAATAAAGTTAATGTTTTTGTTAAATGACTTGGCAAAGAATTCTGTCTAGAATACATTCAAGAAAGAGTAAAGATTAGGATTTTGTAGTTCCTCATCCTATTCTTAATTATACCCCTATACTGGCTTATTAAAATTGCTTTTGTGTAGGAGGGTTCCTACACCCTTACAAATAATTTTAAATTATTCACTTCAGAATGATTTAATGCAAATAAAGGTTTTTAACTTTATAAATTGGGTATGTCATATTGTCACATTATATAATTTTAGAAAAGATGTCTGATCCAGGTGTGGCGGCACATGTCTGTAATCCCAGCTACTCAAGAGATTGTGTAGATGGGAATTATGTACACAAAAGCCTCCCTTATTTATGGGGAATATATTCCAAATACCCCTGGGGATGCCTATAATCTCAGATAGTATCAAACTCTATATATGCTATTTTTTCCTATTCATACACACTTAGGATAATATTTAATTTATACACATTTAATTATAACATAATTTATACAGGAAGACATTAATATAACTAATAATAAAATAGAACAATTTTAACAACATCCTCAGCTGGGTATGGTGGCCCCATCTATAATCTCAACTACTTGGGAGACTGAGGAAAAAAAGATCATGAGTTTGAGACTAGCCTAGGCAACAAATCAAGACTCTGCTTTAAACAAACAATATCCTGTAATACAAGTTATTTAAATCTTATGAACTGTTTATTCCTGGAATTTTCCATTTAATATTTTCAGACCATGGTTGACTGTAGGTAACTGAAGCCATGGAAAATGAACATGCAGGTAAGGAAGAATTACTGTATACATTTCTTACCATTACAATATAATCACACAAGTTAATATTAGCTTGGCAAAACGTGGAAAATGAAGAAATATGTATACAAAATACTTCTGCATCATTAAGACCTAGTAATTTTCAATTGAGATGATTTTTGTAAGGTTATAAAATCAGTCCTATTTTGATATATAAGTATAAATATCTTTAAATTGCTTCTTCTTTAGAATTTTGTTTTATTTTTTTGGTACCAGGGACTGAACCTAGGTCATCACACATACTAGGCAAATGTTCTACCACTGAGTCACATCCTCAGTTCTCCCTTTAGGATTTTAAATAATCACTTGCATCTTAATCTAATTTATTATAAAAATTCCAAAACAACGTACAGTTACTTCTTGGGTTATAGAAGAGCATTTAAAAAATAGTTTTCCACTCTTTTAAAAATTTTTGTTCACTATATTACTTGAGAATAAAATTTTTTCAAAGAGGTTTAAGAAACAAAGCCAGCATCAGCAATCTAGTAAGGCCCTAAGCAACTTAGTGACATCGTGTCTCAAAATAAAATATTAAAAGGGTTGGAGATGTAGCTCAATGGAAACCACCCCCGGATTCAATCCCTGGTACCAAAACCAACCAACCAACCAAATAAACAAACAAACAAACAAACAAAAAACTAAAAAGTTGACCTAAAATATTGTGTGGCTGTCCACTCTATTGTTTTTCAAAAAAAAGAAAAGCAAAAGCTGTGAGAATCAACAAGAATAAAATACATAGGAATAAAATTAGCCAAGGAGATTATAAACACTTATACACTGAAACTAAAAAACATTCATGAACACAATTAAAGAAGAAAAAATTTTACAGCTGGGGGAGTAGCTCAGTGGTACAGCACTTACCTATTATCTGTGAGGTCCTGGGTTTAATGAAAAGAACTTAAAAAAAAAAAAAAAAACATGGTGCTGACATAAGGATAATTATATATCAATAGAACAGGACTGACAGTCCAGAAACAAATTATTATATTGACGAGTAAATTATTTTTGACAGGACACCAAAAGAATTAAATGGAAAAAGACACTTTCTTCAATAAATGGTGCTGCAGACAAGTGAATATCCACATGAAAAACAATGAAGCTGGCCAGGCACAGTGGCACATGCCAATAATCCTAGCACTCCAGAGACTGAGGCAGGAGGACTCCCAAGTTTGAGGCCAGCCTGGGCAACTTAGTGAGACCCTGATTTAAGAAGGAAAACAAAAAAAGGGGTCTTGAGATGTAGCTCAGAGGAAGCAAACCCCTAGGTTCAATCCCCAGTACCATAAATAAATAAATAAAAAGGGCAAAGATATTTCTTTAAGGAACATGGTTAAAAAAAAAAAACCATGTTGAAATGACCAACAAGCACATGAAAAAAAAAAAAAAAAGATTGGTGTCATTAGTCATAAGAAAATTCAAATCAAAACAGTAAGATACCACTTCATTTGCACTAGAACAGTTATATATATATTATACACATACTTAATACATTTAAAAAAATCTATATTTAGGTATATATTGTTAGAGTTAGACATATTATAATATGTTTGTATGTGTGACAATCTGGAAAATATGAATGTGAACAGATATTTGACAATATTAAGTAATTTTTGCTGTGTTTTTAAGGTATATGAATGATAATACAGTAAGGTTAATATTTATGGATAAAATTATATCATGTTATGATGTCCAGGATTTGTTTCAAAGAACATCAAGGTCAGATAAAGTAGTACAATATGAAAAAAGACCACCACACAGTAATAATTGTTAAAGCTGGTAAATGAGAGCCAGGCACAGTGGCATACACCTATAATCCCAGCAATTTTGGAAGCTGAGAAAGAAGGATTCCAAGATCAAGGCCAGCCTGGGATACTTAGTAAGAGTCTGCCTAAAAATAAAAATTAAAAAGGGTTGGAAATATAGCTCAGTAGTAAAGCACCCCTGAGAGTTCAATCCCCAGTGCCATAAAAACAAACAAATAAAATTGATAAATGACTAACAGGCATTGGTTTGTTTCTACTTCTGTATATTTTTAAATTTCCCTTTGAAAACATTTTAAAAATGAATATAATTTAGGGCCAAATAAACAAATGCACTGTCAAAGTACAATGGTTCATTATAACTACCTTAAGTTAAGCAAACAAAAAACATGAAAATAAACAGAACAAGCTTGATTGATTGGACATACTTAAAACTCCATTCCTGACAATTAAAGGACGTGTTTCTCTGAACTCATAGAGAACTTCAAATACTAGATTGGAAACATAATAAAAATATTATGTAACAAAACTTGTTGGAAGGGTCTGGGGTTATGGCTCAATGATAGAGCACTTGCCTAATATGTGTGAGGCACTGGGTTCAATTCTCAGCACAACATAAAAATAAATAAATAAAATAATTAAAAACTTGTTTGATACAACTAACATAAAATTTCAAGGTAAATTTGTAGCCTTAAAATTTTATTTTAGGAAAAAAAATTCAATTGTATGAGACGAAAAGGTTCAAGAGATCTATATTATACATTACAATGGCTATAATTAGTAAAAATAAATTGTAATATTTGAAAGTTGCTGTAAACTAGATTCTTGGTGATTTTAGCCTGTTAAGCAGGGCTACAGATGTGGCTCAGTGGGTATGGCAATTGCCTAGCACGCACAAGGCCCTGGTTTCTATCGCAACAACTACACATACACACACACACACACACACACAGAAAAGTATACAAGATAATGCATATGTTAACCAGCTCAAATTAACCATACCACAATTTATACATATATGAAAACATGATGTTGTACCATAAATAAATATAATTTTTGTCAACTAAAAAATAAAAATTTATTTAATCCACTTTCTTGGGGAAAAAAAATGAACTAATTGATCAACTTTTAAGGTGAGAAATACAAATGCAGACACATACAAAGAAAGTCCATATTAAAGAGATCTATTCAATGAAATAGACCATAAAGACACAATAAAGAAGCCAATGGGGCTGGGGTTGTGGCTCAGAGGTAGAGTGCTTGCCTAGCATGTGTGAGGCACTGGGTTCGATCTTCAGCACCACATAAAAATAAATAAAAAGATATTGTGTCCACCTATAACTAAAAAATAGATATTTTTTAAAAAAGAGAAGCCAATAATGCCACAGGTTGATTATCTGAGAAAGAGAAAAAGATTTAGCAAGAGAGAAAAAAGAAAGACAAAAAATGCCAGTAAAACAACAAAAAAAGGGACTAACTACAAAAGATAGGGATATTATGGATAAATTCCTAGAAAAAAAAAATAACTTACCAAAACAGATTACAGAAGAATTGTAACAACTGAACAGTCCTATATACATTAAAGAAATTGAATGTGAAAAATGTTCCCACCCACACGCACACAAAAACCCAAGGCAAGACATTTTAAGATGTTTTAAAAAACGATGTTTTTTTTTTTTTTTTAAAAAAAACAATTCCAATCTTATATATACTCTTCTATATTGTAAAGAGAGATTACTCGAAACTTATTTTATAACCTACATGACAAAATTGACAAAGACAGTACAAGGAAGAAAATCTATAGAACAATTTTAATTGCTATATGCACTAGGTCCTTGCAATTCTGGAAGAACTCCTCCTCCCAGGAATAACCAATTTCTAGACTCTCCTATAAACGTGCCCTTTCTATGCAAACTAACTAATCCAGACACAAAACACCCAGATCAACTTCCTTTATGGGGCACTTACCCTCTGGGACACTATTTCCTTGTCCTAATTACTTTAGGGCCAGGTATCAGACAAGAAGGGACAGCCAATACACCTAAGTCCATTGAAATGGTTAAAACTAGCCAATATTAAACCTACTTGGTCTGCTTGCCCTGTTCGCCCATTCTTTTTCTTGAAAACCACAATTCAGGTTTTTTTTTTTTTTTTTTTTTTTGTAGTCTCCCACTTTCTAATTGCTACCAACCTTTGTGTTGTTTTGTGTGGCCCTATGTGGTATGGCATGTCCCTCTCCTCTTGGAAGCTGTGAGTAATAAACTATCTTTTC